CTCAGCACCACATAAGCAAAAAGAAAAAAGCCGGAAGTGGCACTGTGGCTCAAGTGGTAGAGTGCTAGCCTTGAGCTGAAGAGCTAAGGGACAGCACCCAGGCCCAGAGTCAGGCCCCACAACCGGACCCTCCCCCCCCCCAAAAAAAAGATAGATGGAGGTGTCAGGTTCAGTGGTTTATGTCTGTAATCCTAAATTATTGGGAGGATTGTGGTTCAAAGCCAAGCATCAACTAATTTAGCCAGGTATGGTATTATGTGCCTATAATCCCAGATATACAGGATTACAGAGACAAAAATTCAAGATCCTAGCTACTCAGGAGGATGAGATCTGAGGATCATAGTTCAAAGCCAGCCCAGGCAGGAAAGTCCCTGACTCTTATCTCCAATTAACCATCAGAAAACTTGAAGTGGTGCTGTGGCTCAAAGTGGTAGAGCACTAGCCTTGAGCAAAAAAGCTTAGGGACAGAGCCTAGGCTCTGAGTTCAAGCCACACAACTGACAGCCTACTTTTCTTCCTCTTTAACTGTATAACACAATCTAATATATACAACCTATATTAATGAGCATTAGCTATATGCTAGGCACTGAACTAAGCCACGTTATACTATCTCATTATCCTTAAAGTAACCCTATAAATTAGGAATTATTACTCACATTTTATTTTTAAAAAAAAATAGAAACTCAGAAAAGTCTCTTGCTTAAATCATTGAGTAAAGACTGGCTGAGCTGAGATTTCAATCCAGGCTTGATATTAAGACCTCTATCCTAAGCCGGGCGCTGGTGGCTTACGCCTGTAATCCTAGCTACTCAGGAGGCTGAGATCTGAGGATCTCGGTTCAAAGCCAGCCCGGGCAGGAGAGACCGTGAGACTCCTATCTCCAATAAACCACCAGAAAACCGGAAGTGGTGCTGTAGCTCAAGTGGTAGAGCGCTCGCCTTGAGCTGAAGAGCTGAGGGACAGCGCCCAGGCCCAGAGTTCAAGCCCCACGACCCACAAAAAAAAAAAAAAAAAAAGACCTCTATCCTAGGGACAGGGCTCAGAGACAAAGCACTTGCTTAGGAAAGCCTTGGGTTCTATCATCAGCACTGGTTCCTCAAAAAACAAACAAAAACAAAAAGCCTGTGATCTCAAGTCCTATATTATATTGTCTCTTATATTACAAGAATGTTTGTGTATCTGCATGCTACATCCAATAATCACAGAACTGTCTTAAAGAATTAACCACTTGGGCTGGGAAGGTGACTCAGTGGTAGAGCGCTTGCCTTACATGCCTGAGGCCCTGGGTTCGATTCCTCAGCACCCATAAGAAAAAAGAAAAAAGCCAGAAGTGGTGGTGTGGCTCAAGTGGTAGAACGCTAGCCTTGAGCTAAAGAGCTGAGGGACAGTGCCCAGGCCCAGAGTTCAGGCCCCACGACCGGATCCCACCCCCCAAAAAAAGAATAAACCACTTGATGTATATGGATATCACTGTAAACTGAAACATTCTCTAAGTGTAAAGGGATTTTTACCTTCCTGTGGTTCTTGAAGAACATACGCATTTAACTGAACTTCATTCTTAGGCAGGGTCATCTGTACACTTTTTCCAGCAGATACCACCAGTTCCTTTACAACTAAAAAAAAGTAAATAACCAGAGATAAACAGATCCAGCTGTGCCATTTCTCTCTTTTCTTTATGATCCCAATTCTTTTCCCAAATGATATTTAGCGACAGCCATGATTTGCTAATTATTTCTCTACTCTAATCCCCTGACATTTGATTCTGCACCTTTTTTTTTTTTCCTCAAATGAAAAGAACCTCTCAAGGTCATTGATGAGCTGCTTCTTCACAAATCTAAGAACTCAATCTCCTTCTGGTACTTTGTTGGCATCTACTGCTGACTGCCTCTACCTTAAACCTTTTGGTTATCATGACACCAGATTTAACTTTTCCTCCATTATATTTTAACTAAGCTCTGTCACTAAATCATATATATATATATATATATATATATATATATATATATATATATATATGTATGTATACTTTCAAAAGAGTTCAAGTTCTGTTTCAAGGACAACCTTCATATAAATAAATAACTTTTGAATACAACACACAAGAAAGGCAAATGCCAGTCACAAGGCTTGCCTTACTCTTTTCAACTTAATTGTTACAACTATTGACTCATTGTTCAAATTTAGATGATTCCAATAATCTTAATTGGCCTCCCTTTTCTGAGCTCTCCCTATTCCAGGGTATTGTCTTCCTATAATATCTATCACCACTAGTCTTCTAAAATACTCACCATGTTATTCTCCTACTTAAGACTCCCACTTCTGCACCATGTTTAAGGCCAAGTTCCTACACCATCACTTGCTCTCATCCTCTCACATTTTCCACCCAATTCTGCTTCTAGTTGAATTAACTTTCACTCTTGCATTCCACAGAGACCAGGAACTACTCTTAGGGCTTTTATTAGAGTGATTTTTCTTTCAATTGGGACCCTTGCCTTTCTGTATTCTAAATACAGCATTTTGTTTCCAGCTTCAATGCTCCAGGAAATTATACCTGACCATTTTAGTACAAATTAATACACTTTTGGGCAACCAGAACTTTTGGAACACTCAAGTCAGCAAATAGCTATATAATGTCCTTCATCAGATTTCTCATTTACCAGGGTTTCTCCCTTGGCATTATTAACATTTTCAACTAGATAGTTCTTTATTGGGAATTTACTGATAATTTGGAGCAAGAGACTGTCCTGAACACTGCAAGACAGGCAGCAGTATTCCTGGCCTGTACCCACTGGATGTCACTTGTAGCAAGTAAAAGCATCTGCAGACCACTGAGAACCACTGATTACATAAACCTTATTTCTCTGAAAATAATTGTCAATTTGGTACATGAGCTCAGTATTAGGAGAACTTAAAGCAAACAACAGACTGGCAAACTCATATTTCAAGATGGAGGTGAAGAGGGCTCCTAGACAAATAAGAAATGTGAGATTTATCTGTCTCTGCTTGGGAACATTGCAATTGGAGAAAAATGAAACCATCCTTTATGAAAGCCACAGCCACTGGATTTCCCAAGAGATAGAACAAGAGACTGTTGAAGTAACTTTCAGAAAAAAAAAAAAAAAAAGAAATCATTATATTCAGAGAAAATACAATGGACTAAAAAGTGGCTAAGAAACACAGTACAACCCAGCCTCTACAATTTTACAAAAATATACAGATATTCTGTGCAAATACAAAAATTACTTTGGTGACTGAGGACTGAAACCCTAAAATTTCATGTCAGATTGTCACCAAAGGAAACTCTGTAAAATTTTAAGAAATTTAAATTTGTTTTTGATGGATTTGTGTCACCTTCCTAGCTTTCTCTGGGTTACCTATTAGCCAACAATGAATCATTTCCCCCCAATACCTAAGAGCTGTACCCATAAGGCCCAGACTTCTTTTTTTTCGTTGGTCATGAGGCTTGAATTCTGGGCCTGAATGCTGTCCCTCAGCTCTTCAACTCAAGGCTAGCGCTCTACCACTTGAGCCACTGGGCCACTTCAGGTTTTTCGTGTGGTTTATTGGAGATAAGAGTTTCATGAACTTTCCTGCCTGGGCTGGCTTTGAACCTTGATCCTCAGATCTCAGCCTCTGAGTAGCTAGGATTACAGGCATGAGCCACCAGCGCCCAGCTAGGCCCAGACTTCTTAAAGCAATATACTAGGTATAAATCTCCTTATAAGGAGAAAAGAAAGATGCTCAGGCAAGCACAGTGATGGATCCCTGTAATACAAGCTATTCAAAAGGCAGAGGTAGGATCACAAGTTGAAGGCCAGAGCAGGCAGGCAGTGAGACTCTATCTCAAAAACAAAATACAAAACAAAACAGTTGGAGGTGTGACTGGAGCATGTTCAAGTTCCTGGGTTCAATCCCTAGATAGATACCTGACCAGGCTGGGAAGGTGGCTCAGTGGTAGAGCGCTTGCCTTGCACGCCTAAGGCCCTGGGTTTGATTCCTCAGCACCACATAAGCAAAAAGAAAAAAGCCAGATGTGGCGCTGTGGCTCAAGTGGTAGAGCGCTAACCTTGAGCTGAAGAGCTGAGGGACAGTGCCCAGGCCCAGAGTTCAGGCCCCACAACCTGACCCAAAAACAAAAAACAAAAAAGCAAAAACAAAAAAAGATAGATACCTGACTTACAACCATCCTTTTCACAGGCAAACAGGTATTCTTATCCAATCTTTCCTTCCCAGCAACTTCTGTTTGACTCCTGCCATCACTTAGTTGAATCTTGTGCCTTAAGTTACAATAGAATCTGGCTCTGAGAAAATGAGCCTCATAAAATTCCATAGGCCAGAAACCTACTAAGGACGAGATCAAGAATCTCCACTACCATGATCACAGGGGACTAAAATGTGATTATTTCTTTCTCTAATATACATATAGCATTCAAGTCAAGACTGTCTTTGCTCTTTCCTCTTAAGAGGGAACGCTCTGATCAAATGCTTCACTTTCCATCCTGTCTCCAAGGGTGTAAGTTAAGGGCCTCACCTGGGTTTGGTGTGGTGCTCTGCAAAGGGGCCTGAGGTGTGGGGGTGACATAACTGTAAGAAGGAGCTACTGGAAGAGGCACAGCAGTCTGGATCTTCCCATGACTTGTTACTTGCTGAGTGCTGGGTGTAGGCCCAGGTTCCTCTGATATTTCGGGATGAACTGAAACAGGAATCTCTGCCGTATTTATGTTTAAGAGACTGGAAACTGTGACTGCCCCATGGACCTAAAAAATGCAAATAATTAATTTGAACAAAAGAAAAAAATAAAGTTATAGATTTTCAGGTTATGTTTCATGATTAAATGATTAATCACATTAAATGATTTCATGAAGTACAAAAAATTTTACAGAAATTAATCTCACCACCCAAAGAAAAATTTTGTTAAATTTTTAATATATAAAAGGCTGGAGAGTTAACTCAGTGGTAAAAGTGCCTGCCTAGCATGTGTAAGGCTGTGTTCAATCCCTAGAACTGCAAAAACAAAAAAGTTGATCAAGATCCTCTGTATTTTTTTTCTATATGAAAAGTTTTGTTTAGGGGGGTGAACTTGTTCAAAGTACACTATAAAAGCCTTTCCTATCACAAATGTATGCCAGCTCAAAAATATAAGTTTTGTTTATGGCTGGAAGCATGGCTCAACTGGCAAAGTGCTCCCTCTAGCAAGCATAAAGCCCTGAGTTCAAACCCCAGTACCACAAAAAAGTTTAGTTTAAATGAAATAGTACTAACCTTACCACGTTAACTTTTATTTAAAAAAATATTTTCAATCTTTCTACAAATACTGAGATCCAACTATGGAATAGGCCTTGTGAAGTCTAAAACAGAAATCAGACTAATCATTGAGCTCAACTAGTCAGAGAGAGAGAATTAAGAATATAACAAGTAAAAATGGCAAATACCTGTAAAGACAATAAACCAAAGAAACAGCCTGAGGGTATTTCACCCCTTTCTCTTAGTGAGAGAGATGGTAAGGAGAAGGGCCATTTTAAAAGCAAAAAAAAAAAAAAAGAATATAGGTCAAGATGGTAGATTTGAAGCATCTGTAATTGTCTCTCCATGAGTAAGAACAACCTGGTATCAGAAAAGACTAGATTCTGAAGACAGAAAGGGAGCCAGAAACCTTGAAAGAGGTAATGGGGAAGGGGGAAAAAACCTGCAGAGAAATTATCCCAGCAGAAGGAAAGCAGCAAGAAGTTCAGAAGCAACCTCTAGCTCTCCCAACTGGGGGAGAAGAAATCAAAGACTGAAATACATGGCAATATCAGATGGTCCTGCCCATGCTCTGCCAACATTAGCTGTGGGAAAAGCCCAAACAAGCTGCAAGCCTAAATCCTACTACAGGGATTTGATACGCATCCCACACCATAAGTCTGACAGACTGGCCTTGGTTAAAAAAAAAAGGGCATTCCATGGTGCCCTGGAGTCCACAGGGCAAAGGGCAGGTTACCATCTTGAGAGTGAGTCTGTTGGTGGGGCTGAGTCTTCCTGAAGACTGAGGGGATAGGGAGCAATCATGGCTCAACAACTCACAGGACATTTTGTCCTGGAAGTCAGTCATAAAAGGTAAATTTACAGTTAGTCCTAAGAGGTAGTGGAGGAGAGGGAAGTGTCTGGCAGGACCCCACAGAGAATCTCAACTGGCAGGAAGTCATACTATGGGCTTATACTATGGGCTTGGGAAACTTGGCTGTACCAGCTGACCAAGGCTTGCTATTACCTACCACTGAAGAGGCACTGGCCTGGCAGCCATTGCTTTTGATCCAGGAGAGCTGCAGTGGTGACTCCTAATATCCAATAGAGGCCACCATCAGAGGCACTGAGACCCCAAAAGGCAGAGCTACAGATGTTTACCAGGCCACAAAGCAGAGGTACCATAACAGGCAACTTGGGCACATTTTCCACAGCTTTACCTCCAACTTAGGCATTTTCCATAGTTCCCCCTCCAAGTTAGACGTGAACTGCATAGCCTGAGGCCAGGGCAGCAATGGATCTTTGAATGGGAGGTCTATGAAGAGGCCCATTCACTGGCTCTATATGTTGACTGCTACGGAGACAGAGCAATCTCCCCCATACTCTCAAGAATATGATTTCCACTGGTGGCTCACACCTGTAATACTAGTACTCAGGAGGCTGAGATCTGAGGATCATGGGTTGAAGTCAGCCTAGGCAGTAAAGTCCATGAGACTCTTATCTCCAATTAATCACCAAAAAGACAGAAGTGGAGCAGTGGCTTAAGTATAAAAAAGCTCAGGGACTGTGCCCAGACCCTGAGTTCAAGCCCCAGCTATCCCCCCAGCCCCTCAAAAAGGGTATGATTTCTATCCTGGGTACAGGTAGCTCAATTCCCTAGTCCTAGCTACACAGGAGGCTGAGATCTGAGGATAATGATTTGATGTCAGCTTGGGCAGACAAAACCTTAAGACTCTTTTTTTGGGGGGGGTCTGGTAGTGGGACCTGAACTCTGGGCCTGGGTGCTGTCCCTCATCTCTTCAGCTCAAGGCTAGTGCTCTACCACTTGAGCCACAGCGCCACTTCTGGCTTTTTTCTTATGTGGTGGTGAGGAATTGAACCCACTTCCGGCTTTTTTTCTTATGTGGTGCTGAGGAATCGAACCCAGGGCCTCGAGCATGCAAGGCAAGTGTTCTACCACTGAGCCACCTTCCCAGCCCCCCAAGACTCTTATCTCTAATTAACCAACAAAAAGCTGGAAATTGAGGCATTATTCAAGTGGTAAAGTGCCAGCCTTGAGTGAAACAGTCAAATGAGAATTTTAATTTCTCTTGGGTAAATAAATACAAAATGTACTTTATGTTCACCCACCATCAATCTCTCCTCTTCCTCCAAATGGTTCCCCACCCGAAGCAGTTTTATTTTTCCCTATTTATTTTTGGTGGTACTGGAGTTTGAACTCACAGTCTCATGTTTGCTAGGCAGGTGTTCTATCTCTTAAGCCACACTTCCCAACTCTGTTTTACGTTTGGTTGTTTTTCAGATGTTTGCTTCCTGTGTAGCTGCCATTACAGGAGCAAACCACCAGCAGAAGTCTTGATAAGTTTCTATTACATTTGACATTGAACTAGGATCCTGCTAATTTCTGACTCACAGATCACTGTGATTAAAGAGTACACTACCACAACATTATTTGGTTATTCATCCATGTTCTGTATATCAAATTTATTCCTTATTAGTGCTGAGTACTGTTCTACTATACGAACATACCATGATTTGTTTATTCATTAACCTATTCATGAACATTTGGGTTGATTACAATTTTTAGATATTACAAATTCAGTTGCTAAGTCTTTGCTCTACAAGTCTTTGTACAAATATATTCTTTCATTTATCTTAAATACTTACGAGTGGAATGTCTGGTCATACAGAAGGTCTACCTTTAGCTTCCTAAAAAAATATTCCTGCTAGGCACCAAGGGCTCATGCCTGTAAACCTAAGTACTCAGTAAGCTGAGATCTATTTTTGTTTTTTTTTTGGGGGGGGTCCGGTCGTGGGGCCTGAACTCTGGGCCTGGGCGCTGTCCCTCAGCTCTTCAGCTCAAGGCTAGCGCTCTACCACTTGAGCCACAGTGCCACTTCCAGCTTTTTCTCTTTGCTTATGTGGTGCTGAGGAATCGAACCCAGGGCCTCAGGCATGCAAGGCAAGCACTCTACCACTGAGCCACCTTCCCAGCCCAGTAGGCTGAGATCTGAATCAGCCTGGCAGGAAAGTCTATGAGACTCTTATCTCCCATTAATCTCCAAAAAAGCTGGAAATGTAGAGTGATAGCCTCGAACACAAAAGCTTAGGGACAGTACCTAGGCCCTGAGTTCCAACCCTAGGACTGTTGCAAAATAAATACATAAACACCACCAAACAAAATTTTATAAATATTTCCAGGGGCTGGGATGGTGGCTCAGTGATACAGTGCTTGCCTTGCATGCATGAGGCCCTGGGTTCAATTCCTCAGCACCACATAAGCAGAAAAAGCAGAAAGTAGCACTGTGGCTCAAGTGGTAGAGCACTAGCCTCTAGCTGAAGAGCTGAGGGACAGTGCCAAGGCCCAGAGTTCAGACCCCACTACCGATATAAACTAAATAAATAAATTAATTATAGATATAGATATATTTCCAAATAGTTCTCCAAGTTGTTGCAACATGACACAGCACCAGTGCGGGACTTCTAGTTATTTTACAGCCTTGCCAATTTGGTGGGGTATCTTCTAAATTTAGTCATTCTAAAAGATGTAGTGGCATCTCGGTGTGATTTTCCACTTGTGTTTTCCTAATGATTACTGATGTTGAACATCTCATGTACTTAAGTGCCACTTGAGCCAAGCACCTGGGCCTTTGCTTTTACTTTGTTTTTTAAGATAGGGTCTCATATTGACTGCCTCTTTGATCTCTGCCTGTTTTTGTTCTAGGCCTCTAGGAATCCCCATGAAAGTATATTGTTGAGATATAATCAGGGATTTTTTTAAACAAAAAGGTAATTTATTTCCCTAGTTGTACATTTTAAACACTAAATAATTGACCTTGTCCATATCTGTAATGTTTTTATATGAAGTTACATTTTTTTTTGTTTGTGTTTTTGGGTCCGGTCGTGGGGCCTGAACTCTGGGCCTGGGCACTGTCCCTCAGCTCTTCAGCTCAAGGCTAGTGCTCTACCACTTGAGCCACAGCGCCACTTCTGGCTTTTTTCTTTTTGCTTATGTGGTGCTGAGGAATCGAACCCAGGGCCTCAGGCATGCAAGGCAAGTGCTCTACCGCTGAGCCACCTTCCCAGCCCCACACGCTTTTTTTTTTTAATTGTGAAAATACTGTACAGAGGGGTTACCTCTGTATATGGGTAAGATAATGAGCACATTTCTTATCAAGCATTGTAGCCTTGATCAGGGATTTTTGAGCATACTCCAGTTATGGGATTAACCCTCATCTGTGATTTTCTTGCTTTCAAGGCTCTCCTAGTAAATTTTTAGAGACTTTTTATATTGTGAACTCTATGCTTAACTACCAAAAGAAAGTGAGGCTGGATTTCCCATTGCCACTCTCCAATGCTGTGAGGTTGTTGAATGCCCTCAGGCAAAAATAATAATAATAAAAATGCATAATAATTTTTTATCACTTCTAGTTGCCACTTTTTAAATTAAGCTTTTCTCTAGCTTATCTACCTTTAGATACTTTCCAATTCCTTTAAATATTTTTAAAACAGATTTTATCATTATTATCGTGGA